GTGCACCTGCCCCAAAATGGGATACCATTGGTTTTGACCCACAGCCATATGAGCAGAATCAGAACACTTTCTTTTTATCCTTTGGTATCCCAGAGTTGGGCCAGTAGCCCAATGGCTCCCTACCGCTGACCCTGTGCCAAGTTCGGGTGGGAAACGACTCGGTTGGTTCCAAGGTCCCAAAAGGAGGGCCCCCCCACTGCTCCGCAAGTTCCACAAACCCTTCATGGCGCCCTTTTTGTCGGCTTTTTATTGGGCCCCCGTCAAAATAATCGGAGAGGCACTGGAGTCTGGGCTATGAAGCTCAAGTAAAGCATCATGAATCGGTTTTCGCTTGTGCCGAATCGGTGGAATCGCTCACCACAAAAAAGAAGGCACCTGGAGCCGAAAGAGCTAAGCCTTAAAAAAGAAATTCAGTCCACAATTCTGGGGGCAATACCCCCATCTTGAGAGACGTTTGAGGGTCCAGGTATCCTCTTTCCAACAATGGAAGTGCAGAGGGAGCTAGTTCAAGAGCACTGTACCCTTCCAGAACCCTTCGGTCAGTTTGTATTGTTGGAAAGAGGGTCGATTCATTGCCCTGTCTTACCGCCAATCTCTCTTCCTCCAAGCTCCAAGATTATTGGCACAGCCTTGGAAGGAGTCTTTTTGGGTTCTTGGCCCTGTGAAGCTTTCGAGTAGATGTTCATGTCTAAATCCTTCCACGCACGGATATTTGAGCTTCTTTTTCCCAGTCTCTCCATCCCAGTCTGGTCCGCTCGACGCGGGCTGCGGGCCCCACCTGTCTCCCACTGAAGCTGGAAGAGTCATGCAGGGCCAAAGTGATCCGTTGGACAGGGTCCGGAAGGACAAAGGAGTCAGGCTTTTGATGGGGAGGCTAAAAATCCACTGGTCCCTTGATTACCCTTTGAAGCCCAAGTGAGGCAAGTAAAGTATGGATGTGGGGGGGGGGGGGTTGGTATTCTACTACGTATGGCTTGTTGATTAGTTGTAGCGGTGTTTTTCAAGGGAGTCATGGTGGGTTCCTCATTGACAAACATTCATTCACGGCATGATCTTGCCCGCCCGGAGCCAACACATCCGTTTCAACCTCATGGAACATGACCAAAACGGGAAAGTCCCGACGTCCATCGTTGGATGTTGGAAAGCCCTTTCTTTGGGTAAGGCAAAAGGAAGCCCACCGCTTGCGATGTACGCCCCCTAGGCGGAAGGCAAAAAGGGCCCGGACGCTTGGACCATTGGATCGACGGAGTTTCTCTTGTGCGCTTGGGACGGTAACCTCAGACCAGGGCGTTTCTTTCGTCAACAGGGCATGGCTTTCCCCAAATCAGAAGTTGATCAATTGACCGGTTTTTCCCTTACGATCCGAACTGGAGGGCAAAAAGGGAAATGGCTCGGACGCCCCGAGCAAAGTCTGGAGGTCTAACCCTGAGAATCCCGCAGCCTATGTAGAACTGGCGCGAGTCCCTATAACCGGGACGTCGTTTGACATCATTGTTTCATTTTAATGGATTTGAAGGTTCGCAAAACATGGACCAGAGTCCAAAGATGTATTTTTCCAGCAGCCAAGCACTGAAGTAGTTTCGGTGGGTTTCAACAGCAGCTGCTTCCCATGTTTTTCCCCCACCCGACAGGAAGGGGTTGTTAGATTTTATGTTGGAATCCGCGTTTGCGATGCTTCTACACCACGCCCCCACCCAGTATCCCGCCAGAGCGGCTCGCCAGTGGATCTCGACGAGTATCCCGCCAGAGCAGCTGGCCAGTGGATCCCGCCCAGTATCCCGTCAGAGCTGCTCGCCAGTGGATCCCGCCGAGTTGATGTGGATCTTTCTTACGGAGCCCTGCCTGATAGTAGCTCGCCATTGGATGCCGTCCCGCTGAGTGTCCCAGAGTAGCTCGCCAGTGGATCGCGCCGAGTATCCTGCTGAGTATCCTTTGCCGGTGGATCCTGCCGAGTATCCGGCCAGTATCGAGCCGGAGGGGCTCGCCAGTATTCGCCAGTGGATCCCGCCAGAGCAGCTCGCCAGTCTGGTTTTGCTTACTGTCCCGCCCGGCGCACAGTTGGGTTTACATTGCGTGTTGGTGTTTTCGTGTTTTGAGTGCGCCCTGAGGCTCGGAAAGGGTGATGCTTTTGTGTTGCTTTGGGTTGTGAATAAGCAACTTCGTTTAATCCCCTTTCGGGTTTCTTTTTGGAAGGGGCTTGGCTTTTGTTAACGGAACCGATGTTTGAGTTCTCGAGATCGGCTCGCAGACAAATGGAGTTTGACACACAGACAGGTGGACAAGGCTCTCAACGCAAAGCAAGCCACTCGAAAACCATGCTTGAATTCACACAACCGTGTTCACGGTCGTAACCTCGTGAGTGTGGAGGGTGGGGATCGCTCGAAGCGGTATTTTTCTTTTTTCTTTTTTATCTCGATGGGTGTCCTCTCAGGATGGTTGCACTGAAGGTCTTGTGCCAAAGCCAAGGCTGAACCAAAAGAACACCGCCATGACGAACACTGTCAAAGGCTACATGTGTGGACATATTTGCGATTTGCCTTGGTCTGGCTCATATCCTAGTTTTGAGGATAGGCCAAGCATAAGGTTTGGAAAGAGAGGCCAGCAGTGTGGGCCCGCGGCAACATGAGCCCGGATGGTTTGCCTTTGCTTGCAGGGCACCCGATCCCTCAATGGTCCAGGGCTCCACGAAGAGGCAGCCAACCCCTTTTCCCTGGGCCCCCCCCCCCGTATTGTTCGAAGGCAAAGGCAAGGGCAAGGGCAAGAAGGACGAGGACCATTGGTGCTGTGCCCGGGGAACCGAACTGGGGAACAAGGGCGTACGTCCAGGAATCGGATCAACGACAGGGGCTAAAGAGACTTCTGCCGTCTAAGATGCCCATGACCCCTCTCTACCTGGGACGCTGGGCTTTCGGAAGCCTTTGCTTTACCCAGACTGGTGCCCATGTTTTCTCTTCCATTGAGGGGGCTTTCCTTTGAATTAACCCCGACAAGCCTGGCCACTCAACCCCTTTTTGCCCTACTAAATCGCTGAATAAGGTGGTTTGAGCAGAACCTTTTGGAACGTTTTTGTTCAAGTCAGTGTCGATGTAGAAAGGTTAGACAGCAGCGCTGAATGCCTTTTTTTGGTGGAAGCGGAGAAGACTTCTACCCTGCACATGGACCGGACACAACGAACGTGTTTCCACCGCGGCGCAGCTCATCCAAATCTGATTTTGGAAAGGCTTTCGATGCTGACCCCACAGGAAGGGCCAGGGATAGTGAGTTTGTTGGGTGCTAAAAGGGTGCGAGTCAACTACAAGGCGACTCCAGGTTTTAGTCCCTGTGTCCATTTGCCACGGTTTCCAAAATGGGTACTAGTACCTATATTGGACCCACAGCCGAATGGCGTGTGTCTACAATTGACCCTTCCATGAAAGGAATTGAATCGGATCTGGGGAAACGGGAAACTCTGAACCACAAGGCCGGAACCCACCATTTGGGGGGTAATTACTTCAAACCAGGGGTGCTGCAAGAGGGGTTGGGGAAAAAACACAAAGAACTTTATTAAACTCTTTGTTTTGGTTTCCATTTCGGGGTAATCTTGTGGCAGTTTCCCATAATGATGCTGGAAATTCACCAACCTAAACGTAGTCCGACCTACCCAACAAGGGGTCCACCGCAAGGCTGAGTTGGTACTGGGGTGTTCGGCCGAGTTAGTATGCTCTTGATATCTTAGGTTACTCACTAATAAGTCCCCCGTGAATGTGGGAAAGACATTGTGAGGATGAAACAAAGACAGATGTTGCGGCAGCCGACATCCAAGTAGGTGATACCTAGGTCCCCCAGTAGTGCCCTTTTGCCCTTTTTGGGAGAGGGTTCCCCCAAAATAGACTACAGAAAAAAGGGTACCCTAATTCTAACCTCTCTACTGGAGGACCTAGATACTTGTTGGGAAGATCATGTTAGCGATAACCAAAAAAGTTCCAGGACTTCTTTCTTCGACCAATCCGCTCGATCGGGAAGCGGGTGGCAGCACCCAGTTTGAATCGGAGGACGCACCCAGCCGCTCGGACTTCTTCCGGGCCAGCCCTGTGATCCATTGCGCTGGGGCGCCAAGTCGGAGTTTTCGAGTGGTTTTAAACGGGGTGGTTCTGAAGGGAAACCTCCTTCTTCCATTTGCCAAAGAATATGTGGATTTTCCTCCCTGTGAACAGGGAATCTATCACTGGACAGAATTGTTATAAGTTCTCATTTTTTTAGGGGGACACACAACGCAAATGGAAGCCTTGGGGTCCTCTTTCTCTGGGTGGGTTTTTGTGAAAACCAAGAAACAAATCAGCTTTCCCCGGGGTCGCCTTTTGACACATACCCATGTTCTTGGACAAGTTTCCCTTCGTGCAGCAGTTGAAACCCAACAGGAGAATGCTAGTCTTATGCAAATGGAAGCTGGAAGGGTACCACAATCATCATCCAGAAAGCAGTTGAGCACACACAAGAGCCCCTTGGCAGTCGTTTCACCAAGAGGTAAGAAGACTCCACACTCGGGTTTGAACCCCTGATCAGCCAAAAGAGGCGTCAACGAAGATTCTTACGCCGAATGACCTGACCTTTTGCCCGTCGAGGGAGTAGCAAACGAATGGCTTCACATGTCCGAGGATCCCAGGCAAAGATCCCGCGCTTTGGTTCAGGATTCCGTGAGCTCAGCGCAACGCAGTCCTTGACGGCAATTTCTTGCGTAGATTAAGGCCCCCGAATCAGGGGAGTCGCTGTCCATGTGAACTCTTCTTTCCGCAAAGGCCCTTGGCGCGTCCGAACGGAGCGGCTGTGTTGCGTCGGCCAGTCTCACGCATGCTGAAGTGAGAAGGGAGTTGCTGGCATTTGGACTGCCTTGTTTTGTTGCTTGAGCACTTCACTCGGTGGAAACTGCATTGATTGTTTTTGGCAGTGAACAATTAGCAGGTTCTTGTTTTTTTGTTGCTTTGTTCATTTTTAGTGGTGGTCTGTTTGGCTGGCTCACACACGAACTGCCGGGTGTCTGAGGTTTCTGTTGGCTGGAACCGCACAAACTCCGGGTTGATTGGAAGCGCTTCCACCGAGGCCTTGAAAGTGCCTGGCGAGGCACAGGCAGAGTCGGAGCATGTGTGCCAATATCCGATCGCGGAGGTTATCCATGCGTTTTGTGGATCTCAGATCTCTCCCACAAACAAACATGGAAGTGCAAAAAGGCCCTTTCCCAAGAGGAAAGCAGTCTTTCTACAGGGGTCTGTGCACCAAACCATGTTAGCTGGTGGGAGGGCAAAGATGAGGGCCTTTGACCCCCAAAGAAGATCTCAAATAGGGTCTTGGGACAGGGCCTCACAGTTCAGTTCTCTTTTGCGCGGACTGGAAAGATGGAGTTGGGCGACCCCTCAAACGCCTACCGCCCTACGGTGGGAGGTCTTCATTCGGCAGACACTGTTCAGGTATGCTGGCCGAAACTGAATCATTACCAGAACCATGATGAAGCAGCTACTTCGTACTAAACTAAAATGGTTCAGGAAGCACATATCGGTTTCTTTTTTAGTGGCTGCTTTGGTCATAGTCTGGGACAACAGGACCCTGACCCTGAATCTCCCATTGTACGGGACCCCTGCAGGAATGAACCACCTTGTGGATGGCGTGTGATCTATCAAGGATTAAATTCAGTACCCCCAAACCACTATCCCCAGAGGTTAGTGGGACAAAAGGCCACTATAAAGCCACTGTATAAGGGGGTATATACCGCGCTTTCCCTTGGGCAGTGTTTGGGGGGGTAGTGAGAAACCATCTCAATCTATGTGCAGGACTCTGAACGCCTGAGCTGAAACTACATTCTTTGGAGGGGATCGTGCAGCACATGTCAATATTCACCAATGCCCATTCTGGGCATTTGTGGGTACACCTGGGTGAAAGGAGACGGCGCAGGTTCCTTTGATTTTGTGGGGGAAGCAACGGGGATGACTAAGGATGACCGACCCATCTATTATTATCCAACGGTAAAGCAAATACGGTCTTCTAGCCAAGAGTGCAGCTTCATGGTATGACACCAATGAGTTACGCTTTGGGATCGTTGCTTTCGCTTGGCAAACGATGAATGCATTGTGTTGAGTTAGCCTCAGAACGTGTTGCAGACCACGTTTGGCAAGGCAAGGTACGGCGCTCAGCAAATTGGATTGGCAGTGGGGCTGCCACATTGCGGCCTCTGCAGCCACTTTGCCACCAGAGCGCAGGGTCCGAAGCAACTTTCACCTCGCAGCCATGACGCAGCAGACACTCGCAGTTGAGAAGGCAGCTGAGAAGGCAGCCTTCTCTCCGGGCCACTCTGCACAGAGCAGCCCCACCAAGAAGAGGCGGCTTCATTGCATGGCTACACTGAGCGATCCTTTCGATTTTCTTGTCAATGCACTCATCCTCTTTGAACGTGTTTGTTCCTTGATTTCCTGATCATTCGCGTTGGAGTAGCATTTATTCAAGGCGGCGAACGTTTGCGCAGTGTTCTGTATCCCGCGCAGTTGTTTTTTACAAGCTCAAACTCGGCCTGCTTACTCCAAAACCAGTGAGAGGGTTGCCAACTGCAACAACTCAGCCTGTGTCCGCTAATGTTGGAGCATACATCAAACACGGCTAAGACACAAGGAACACACACACACAACAAATACAGCCGCATTGCTAGAAAGATAGAGATATACATATACATTTATTACGTATACGTATACGTATACGTATACTGCATATATATATATATATATATATACATATTACATATTATTATTATTATTATTATTATTACGTATTGTTATTTTATTTATGATGAGATGATGATAAGATAAGATGAGCAGATAAGATGTGATAAGATAAAGATGTGATAAAGATGTGATTTCTCAGACAGATGCAGATTTATGATGCTACGTGAGATGATGTGATAAGATGATGTGATGTGATGTGATGTAGATAGATAGATAGTGATGTGCAGATATGATAAGATGTGATGATGATGTGATGTGATAGATTGCAGATAAAGATGTGATGTGATGTGATGATGTGATGTGATGATAAGACACCATAAGCTAATCGAGATGTATTTAAGATAGATACAGGTGATGTGATAAGATGTGATGTGATGTGATAGATGTGATGATAGAATATGATGTGATGATGTGATGTGATGTGATAGATAGATGTGATAGATAAGATGTGATGATGATGTGATGTGATGATGATGATGATGTGATGTGAGATAGATGTATGATGTGATGTGATGTGATGTGATGCATGTGATGTGCATGTATATATATATATATATATATATATATATATATATATATATATATTTATTACATGTATATACGTATATATTTATTACATTTATTGGCCACGCATATACGTACATACGCATATACGCATATTACGCATACGCATATACGCATATACGCATACACGCATACATTTACACACGCATACTACGCATAATACGCATACGCATACACGCATACGTACATACGCATACGCATATACGCATATACGCATACGCATACGCATATTACGCATACGCATACGCATATTACTTCGCATAATGCGCATACGCATACACGCATATACGCATACTACTTAGCAGATATTACGCATATTTATTACGCATACGCATACACAAATACGCATATTTATTACGCATACGCACACTTTACGCCTACGCTTACGCTTACGCTTACGCAGATAAGATAAGCAGACAAGTACAGATACAAGCAGATAAGCAGATAAGCAGATACTAAGATGCTGCGACGCACACGCGCACGCGCACGCGCACGCGCACGCGCACGCGCACCCGCGCACGCGCACGCGCACGCGCACGCAACGCACACGCACACGCGCACACGCACACGCACACGCACACGCACACGCACACGCACACGCACACGCACACGCACACGCACACGCACACGCACACGCACACGCACACGCACACGCACACGCACACGCACACGCACACGCACACGCCCACGCCCACGCCCACGCCCACGCCCACGCCCACGCCCACGCACACGCCCACGCCCACGCCCACGGCCACGCTCACTCCCACGCCCACGCCCACGCGCACGCGCACGCCCTTGCGCACTCGCACGCGCACGCCCACGCGCACGCCCACGCCCACGCACACGCACACGCCCACGCCCACACGCGCACGCGCACATGCACTGCACTATGCAGACTTACACATGGGCAGTGGTATGGCGAAAGGGTAAAGCCGATGGTGCCAAGACGTCACTCAAGCATGGAAAGTCAACGACAGTGAGAGAAACACTCACGTTTGTCATGGCAATCCATCTCCAACACACGTTTGGCATGCAGTTCGGCATGCGCCAGGGAGAGGGCGGCCCAGATCCGGAAGAGCTTCCAGCGGCCCAAGTTCTGGGTCATGGGCTTCGGCTGGTGTTTGGCGGCCTGCGCCGGCGCGGCCAACGTCATTGCCTTCAAGAGCTGGAACTTGCAACGTGGGTTGCAACATGTGGGTATGCGTCAAGTGGGGATTTGAACCCCCCAACATGGTTGACAACACAGATACACCCATGTGTTGAAACAACTCCCCGGCCAAAGAGGTTTTGGGTCAGCACCGAGCGCAGCACAAATTCCACTGCTTTGGCACAGGTTGTTTGGTTCAGCAAGTTTGGACCGATAGGGGGCGTGGGCATGACCTCGCACGCACAACAAATCAAGGTACGCGTCCCACGTGACGGGCAGCACGTCCGCCATGGCCTTCCGCTTGGAGGGCTACCATCAGGGGGAGTTCGGTTCGGAGAGTTTCCGCGAGGCCTTCTTCCTAGTCTTCTCGTTTCTGGTGGGCGCCTACACGTGCGGCCTTCTCATTGACAAGAACCAGGTGCCTTGAGTGGGTTGGTGGCAGCCGAATTGGTTTCAGGCTTTGAGTTGCACTGGGCGCCGGCAGTTTGTTGCAGCATGTTTGTCCCATAGAGCGTTGGGGTGGGCAGTTTGCAAACATAGCTTTTTTGGGCCTGCAATGACAGGAGGGGGCCCTGGCCAGGTGCACTTTGGAGGCAAGTCCTTCTACGGCCTGGCCCTTCTTATGAACTCGTCCCTCCTTATCCTTGCCGCGTTCGTCCCTGGTCGCCTGGTCCCTGCGTGCTTCGTTGCTGGCGCATGCGGCTTGCAGAACGCCATGTGCACCTCCCACTTCGGCGCCATCGTCCGAACCACGCACGTGACGGGCACGGTGACTGTCCCTTGCCAGCATTCGGCACCCACTAAAAATTCCGTATCTCCCGGCCAGTTGAATGATCGTTTGGCCGACTTGCCGAGGACATCGGGTCCACGTTCGGCCGCATCAGCATGATCTACCTCCGCAAGGGCTGCCGACGCTCCCGGTTGGACGACATTGAGCGTGCTGAGGTGGGTGTAGACGCGCGGAAGCTTGCAGTGCTCTTCGGCCTCTGGAGCTTCTATTTCATGGGCGGCTGCTCGTCCGTTTTGATTCTGAGGAAGACGTTGGCATTAGGATTGTGGCTTGAGATCCTAAAAAAGTCAGCTGTTGCCTGAGACACTACTCGTTTGCGATTATTCTCCTCTCATTTGCACAAGAACCGGGTCACTGAAGCCAGGTCTTGCCTAAGACTGGCCTTTCCAGCTCCATTCAACCGAGGGCTGATCGGCATCTACATAGAGAACCTCATCCCCGGGCCTCGTGCCCTGCTGGTGCCCGCCTTTTTCACTGGCAGCCTGGGGCTCTTCTACATGGCCTTCCGCAACCTTCTCAAGGCAATGATTGCCGATTCGATCCGATCTGATGGCTGCTGGAACATTCCTGCCAGGTTGCAAGTATAAGGTTTTTAAGAGAAGGACCCCCCAAATTTACTGTAATTCACCTCTGGTGTTGGGGCTTAGCGTGGCTGCAATATGACAGGGGCATCCGCTATGTACTTATTACTAGTTTGAAGTGCAGCGTCGATTCTCAGTCGGGATTGATACTTTTTTGTTTGGTATCCACGCGTTGCTTCTGTGTCAGTCCTTGGTGTTCAATGAGTTGTGCTTGATGCACTTCTTGCGGTTGCTGTGATTGTCTCCGTCCTTGCTAAAAAGACTCAGCTTCCATGTGC